CACCAAAACAGAGCTTCCGCCAGCGCTGTACATGGGTCCAACACGTTAGGATTTTCATTTTTGATTATCTTCCTTGAGAAATGCAACCCTGGTAGATTCTGAAAAAGGGGAAATCCAAGCATAATGTAAAAGGTGGAGGCGGTTGGATCCTAGCACTTGATACATTGGGAGTTGGTTATATAAGGACTCAGAAAGGAGGACTCCAGACATAGCGAAGGGCTTCCTCAAAGACACTGTGGTGGGAATGAGCTTCACGTGTTAGAAGAAACCATATGGCCAGAGGATAGAGTGTGCGGGGCTCAGCGGGACACGCAAGGATAAATCCCATGGAGGCTTGCAGTAAGTCCTTGGGACTTTATTCCAACATTGATGGGAAGTCATCAGAAGATTCTAAGCAGCAAAGAAATATCCTCTGATGTATATTTTTAATAGGTCACCCTGGCTGCTATGGACAGTGGACTGTAGTTTCCTGAGAGTGAGAGCAGGCAGACCAGTGAATATAAGTGAGTCACTGGGAGAATTGAATAAGACAATTCAATTCTTTATCAACATAGTTTATAAGAACTTTCAAAGTACTATTCAAATGATCGCTATTAATAGGTCAATGACTAGTCATCAAACTACGGCAAATAATGAGACCATGTCTCTTAACAGCACAAAAGGTGTGAAAGAGCAGATGAGATGCTTCTCTGAATTTTAGGTTCCTTGTCAATCCAGCAGTCTACCAATGCATACTTCTCTGGATGTTCATGAAGATGAGTAAAAGTGTCTAGCTCAGTACCTGGCCCATCATAAATGCTCAGGCAAATATGAGCCTCCTGTTCTACATGACTCCACAAATAACAATCAGTTGATGTTACATAGTCTGAGAATTCAGCAAGGCTAAAATCTACGGATTGAAGTAAAAAACTGAAATGGAAATTAGAGACGTCATACTTAATAGCTCGATGCTATATAATGATAGTTCCACACACCCCCTGGGTCTGCAAAGCATTTTTATATAGACGTACCCCAAATACAGAGCGTGGGTTGGGGTTTCGGTACCTAATATTGATGGCTTTTCGGTGCAAACTGAACAGTCTTATAAGGAGAGCCTGGAAATCCCGGCCTACCCAGCTGACCCTTTCCGACCACTTGGTCATAATCCTATTTCCTTTGCCTTAGCGCTTTTCTAAGGTATCAGCTCGCATTTGTGTCCTGAAATACTTGAATATTTTCATGTAATTCTCCCTTTTTTGATGGACAGATTTATTTTCTGTCATCTTTCATGAAATTTCCAAAGATAGGGTATAGATAGTTATGTTAATGAGATTTGTTTTTTTCTCTTTTGCAAAAGTAACCCTTTAGATCAGCGCTGTCATGCAAAGCCTGTAGAGTTATGGTCATCTAATGTAAACTCAATCATTGCAGTCTAAACGCCCTTGAGACACACAGGCCAATGTGCGTCCAGTTATTTTAGTAGCAGTTCGCATGTCCCCATCTAGTTATTTTTTTATTCTACTTATTTATTAATTTGCATGATAACTGGCAAATTACATTGGTTAATTGTCTTGATGTCTAGAATATGAAGTATTATAAAGCCAGATGTTAGCTGGGATTCATTAAAGAGAAAAGGGTTCATACTTCATGTTTGAATAACAAGATATGATCATTTCTAGAATCCCCCTTTTGTTAAAAAAAAATGTGTTTCTGCTACGGTTCACATTGTGTCCCAAATAATGCTCAGAACAACAGGCATTTTGAGTGAACATTTATTTACATCCATACCGGCAAACTACAAGATAACATCCAATTAACATCTGACTTTTAACGCTTCACACAGTAGATCCCAAAACACTTGATGAATTTTTTATTTATAATGCAAATTTATTCCAAGGCTGTGTAAAACGTTAGAATCTGAGAAAGAGATTGCACCTTTCTCTGAAACTTGCCTGTAATTTGTTTTCTTACCTTAGACTTTCTTAACCCTGTGGATCTCAAACTCTATTGGGTAATAGAATCATCTGGAGAACTTAGTAAATATACAAATGCCCAGGCCACGTCCTACTTCAATAAGCCTGGCCTTCCGTGTTCTTCAGTAGTGCCACAAGCAGACACTTAACCAAAGTTTGAGAATCACTGACTTAACCTTTTGAGATTTTAATCCTTCTAGAAAGAAATATCTCATTGGTTTGAGTTTTGGAGAAACCGAAGGATATGAGCATTAGACACAGAAGTAGCAGGAAATCCCTAAAAACCATTATTGCCAGCAAACATATGTGGAGGTAACTTGTAGTTCTTCTCAATGACAGCATCCCCGGTAGGCAGAATTTAAGGAGCCCGGAGAAGTGGCTATCTTATCCCTCCTTGGGAATGGAATAGGAATTAGCTGTGCCCCCCTATTCTTGGGAGGATGACAATCGAGAATCCTCCTTAAATAAATCCCTCTTGAGTTTTCCCATGACCCACCCAGGACTTCTCAGTCTCCTGGTTTCCCAGCAGTGCCCCAACCAATAAACCTGCCAATTAAGCAACTGAATATCATTATCATGAATGTAATTACAGACAGTAATTTTGAGCTAGTAAATGCCTCCCATGAATGAATCCCTTTTCCCAAACCATCTCAGCTTCTCTTCTTAGGAAAATGGAAGGCAATCCTATCCCCTGCCTCACCCCAAACGAAACCTCCTTTGCTTAGAAGAAATCCCCACTCCTGCTGGCCCGGGGGACATGCTGAGCAGGCTTTCATAGGCTATGCTTTAAGGAGGAATGTCCCCTTGGGTAGGGTCCCTTTCAGCATCTATCATCCAAGCATGTTCACTAGTTCCCTTCGCTAGAGAACAGTACTACCCAGTTTGGCTATATTGCTTTATTTCTGTTCAGGCAGGGGAATTAATACCAAATTTTTTAAATTTCTGCAAAAAGTCAAATGTTAGAGGCTTTACAAAATAGTGTGATAACTTTAACTTTACTTAAAATGGAGCTTTCCAGAATGCAATTTGCTGAGGATTTAGAGAGGCCCTGAAAATAAAGGCGACATTACAGAAGCATGCATGAGTGTGAAGGCTTTGCATGTCTGTAGAAATAAAATGAATTTCTTCAGGCCTAGAGTTAACTCTTGCATTCAGTAACTTTATATTTAGCTCATGAAAACCTCAAACCCCTATGGATAATAGATACTTGAATGGTTTCTACGATAGATATGTTTAGTCTGAAATGTAATACAGTCTCCCAAGATCTTAATCTGTTGTTCTCTTTTAATGGATAGTGCGAATAAGTGCCTGTAATTGCACCAGTCCCTGGCATGGTTGAGTCCAGACATTTTCAATTCACCATGCATTGAATAATGCCATATAAACTCTGAGAAGAAAACCCATGTTTATTTCACTCCCCTCATGCAATGCCTAGCACAGCTGTTTGCATAGAGTGAATTTTCAGGGTTCTTCTCTGAACAAGATCAAATGTCACATCCAAAAGCTAGCACATTGTACAATTTTTTTTAAAGGGGATTATTGCTTACTGGCCAAGTTAAGATATTTCAAGCCCCAGCATTTCCATTTACCGTGACAAAGAAATCATGTGTTGATTGTTACTTTATTGTTGTCATTGTTCACAGTCTTCTGGAGTAGAAATAGAGTGTATGGGCATCGGAATTTCCACGTAGTAAAGACAAGGAAGGGTAAATGCAACTTCGAAAGTGACGGACAGGAGATTATGCCTTGAGAGAAAGCATCCTGGCAAACATCTCCTGGGGACATCTAGTAGCTTTAGCTTATGAAAACCTAAACCATTTTAAACCTTGCATTAAATAATTTAAAATTTATTTTAGATGTTCAAATGGCAGCTTAAAATTCCCAGATCAGGATCGATGTGTCTCTCTAATACAGCTATCTGTGGTCCTTTGGTAATTTCAGCATAAAAGAAAGTTCACATAACAATTATAGTCTTTCAATAACTGGATATGATCGCTTTAAAAGTAGAACTCTATTTATATTATATTCTTTCTCATTTTGACAGACAGTAGCCGAAGTAGCTGGAAATATGGGTGACCAGATGGATTATGTTTTTTAAAGTGTGTGCATATACAAATATATATATACATTAGCTTGCTCACTTTTACTCTGTACTTTATGTCCATGTACAGTAAAGATATTCAAGGAGGTAAAACTGGCCACCAGGGAAGGTTAGCGTGAGAAAGTTTTCATTATATTATTCCATTTTTTTCCCATTTTCTAGAGGGCAGACCCTCAAGTCCCTGAAAATGGAATAGAAAAAAACAACATAATATACATAAATAATTAACTGCCTGTCCCTCAACCGAAGAGATTTGGGGCTTATCATTCTATCATTAGGGCTCTTAATTCACCACACACTAAAGCACTATCTGCTTTCCTTCATCGGATCTCAGTGCCAATTTGGGACTACCCTGAAACCATTTACAAAATTTCTATTTGAAGATCCAGTCTCTTTTTTTTAGGCCGTCAGGGATAGAAGGTGGTAAGGAGAACAGAGTTGTCACTCTCAGTGTAGCCACGTGAGCATGTCCCACTTAAGTAACAGGGTGCCCCTCAGGTCAGCCTGTGATAAAACCCAAGTCAAACAAGGCTGAATCCTGGATGTTTTATGTCGTAAGGATCTGAAAAGTGTTCACGACCAGCCCTGACCCTCAAGACCTCAAATGGTCATCTAAGCAGTAACATAAATTGGTGTAAACTTGCTCTTGGGCCATTGCTGTGGAAGCGGGACTGGCGAAAGTGCAGCCTTCCCATGGAGGAACTAATGTCTTTGTAGGCACTAAAAATAAGGGGGAATGTGTTGATTACTCCGACAGGCAATCCAACTGTGGTGGCTAAATGCCCAAGGCTGACAAATTCTGCATCTTATCACTGCCGTCAAGTGGAGGTGCATGTGAATACTGTCAGCCCGAAAGAATTGAGAAACAACTTGCCTTCCAAAACTGCATCTCAGCAAAATCTTGACAATGCCAACAGCTCGTCATCTCGTGTTTTTCAACCCTCCAGAAAATGGCCTTCCAGCCTGGGACAAATCGAAACACTGTCCAGACCGAGAACACGACTGGAAGCTAGTAGGAATGTCTGAAGCCTGCCTACAGAGGAAGAGCCATTCGGAGAGGCGCAGCACGTTGAAAAATGAACAGTCGTCACCACATCTCATCCAGGCCACTTGGACTAGCTCAATATTCCATCTGGACCATGAAGATGTGAACGATCAGAATGTCCCCAGTGCCCGGAGCTTCCAAACGGAGGAAAAGAAATGTAAAGGTAACCAGATTTTTATTAAACCATATCAGGTGTTTCAACAAGGAAAAAAATCCTGTGTTGTAACTGCGTGCTTGGTCTCCATGTATTCCAACTATAGTGTCCATGTGCTTTCCCAACTGTTCTGTTACAAAGTTTCTTTATATCCAAGTCTTCTTTTAAACATAAATAAATAGGTGGGTTCCAAAGGAGAGCAGCTAATTTCAGTTTCATGTTGTGTTGGGGCGCTTGGGGAGAAGGCGTTTTTATTTCTCTAATTAGCAAAAGGATTGTTAGTTTGGCTTTAATTTTATTTTTGAATCTGCGTAGAAATAGCCAACACTAGCATTACATAACTACTTGCTTGAAATGTATGTGCGCGTGCGTGCGTGCGTGCATGTGTGTACATTTCTTTTCCCAATTGTACCAGTAGCTAATGGGATCTCAAAGTCCACCTTTAACCTAAATAGACAATTCATGTTCAAAAGAGAGGTTTTAAGTTGTTTTCTTTTACTCATTAAATCCTTGTGTCATCATCCTGAAAGGCAAGATTATGGTGTTAGGAGGTTGTCACCTCATAAAAAAAGTTAAACTGGCCTAAGTTCCTGATTGCATTAGATTTAACTGGTCTTTACCTCAGGTTGCCTCCACCCTGACAGATGTCTTTGTGCTGATCGCTTTATTGTCTTAGGGCTCCCCAAAATCTTTGCTTCTTAAATTAATTTGTGTCTTTAAATGTCCAAGAAATCAATTTGCGTTTTTAAATGTCCAAGTTCATGTAACTTCTCATTCGTTTTCAATTTAGCATTTTTTTTTAAAAGTTCTTTATCTTTTTTCTTTAAGGCATTAAGCTTTCTTAAGGCTTCGTGACAAAATTTTAAATTGTTATTTGAAAATCTGGTAATCACATACCAAGATATATTAATGAAAGTTTGTAAAGACTCCTATATATGAGCCATGAAGGACTTTTGAAAACTGTTCTAACTTGAACGTAAACACATGATTATGTTTAACCCTCTCAAAAAGCCTCTGGTCCTTTAGCTTTTCTGAAAACACTTCGAAAGCTCCTTGGAACTACCGGTTGACCTGGGAAGTGGTGTGTGCAGATCATTTCAGATGAAAATAGGATGATCTAAAAATAATAATGAAACAGTGATATGAACTCTGATTTGAGTGCAGTCAAAACTATATATGTTCTCTTTGGAAAGATTTGTGTTTGAACTGCTTCTCTTCTTTATTTCTTTAGGAGATTTGAGAAATTGAAAAAGATATTTAGGAAGAGCAAAAAAAGTTTTTTCAAAGGAGTCAGGATAGAGGACAGGTGTGTCTGTATATGTGTATGTGCACGCTTGTTTGAAATACAATTGAGATTTAGTCTTAGAATTTGTAACCGGGTTGTATCTTCAAATTTTATGAACTGGCATTAAAACCACATCAGTCCTTGATTGATAGTGAAATGCCAACAGGAAACTGTAGTGTCCTTATGATCGAAGGACCTCACAAACTAAATTTGATTTATTCACAGTTGGTACTCATATTTATGTATCCATTCATTCATTCATAGGGTCCATCCATGACTCTATCATTTATGAGAAATCTTGGCCTTGCGTTTCTAGAGTTCTTGACACTGTATATTTTCCAGTATGTTGGTACAGGTTAAAAGCAAAAGGAAAGAGTCTCTATTTGGATCCTAGACTCTAAGTATAATACAGTGGTTAAGACCACAGATTTTTAAGTCTGACATATTTGGGCTAGAATCCTAGTCCTTCCACTTTCTGTCCTTAAGAAAACTTATAATTGTTGATAAAACTAAATAGGATAATGTATTGAAGCATTTAGCATAGTACCTCTCATATTGTGCTCTCTAAAGAGCAGCTGTCGTTGTTAGTATGCTCATTATTATTAGCTGTGCATCATTAAATCACATAAACTCCTTGGGCTGCACTGTATGCCTGGTAAGGAATAGAGGAGGGGAGCGGGACAAATGAGTGCAGGGTGGAACATGACCTTTCAGGGAGGTTAGAGTTGATAATCCATTTGCATTCGTTCAGCTCTCTTTTGCTGAAAAGTCAGAAAATTTGTTTAAGAAGAAAATTTAATCAAATTATTAAAGTCCTTCCTCGAGATTCTAGTATTAAAAGGAAAACAACTAAGGTAAGCTGTCTTATAGTTTGCAGAGTAACCAGGGTTCACTTTGGCATGGATATGAAGCTGTGCTTTGGTTCAGCATGAAAATGCCACCAGAAAGCCTAGGTTGTCATGGCCCAAGGACCCCATGGACTGAATTTCACTCATTCACAACGGACACCTGTATTTAGTGAGGCACCGGCAAAGCCAAAGAAACAACGTGATTAGTCACTCTTTTCTTTTTGGAGGTGGTTCTTCTCTGCTTGCCTGCTCCTTCTATATAGTCACTGTGAGGAGAGTTCTATTTCGATGTCCATCCATCCTGGGCATTCATTTCCTGGCTATCCCTGTCTAGCCCCCAAGCATGCTTGATATCTCAGTCCTGGGCTATAATGCCATGCATTCATCCCATCAGTGTTTATTGAGTGCCTACTATGTGTAGAATATTGTCCTCGATGTCCGAGCATGAAGAAATAACAGCAGAGCCAAAAGAACATCCAAGTAGCCACATTTCAAAGATCCCAAATAGAATTGATAAGATCTAAATGGCCCTCAAGGCTACAAAAGCTTAAGGATCCACAGTGCAGGAGCCATGCAATCAAACTGACTGCTTAAAGTTGCATAATAAGCCCACTTCCCAAATCAGTAATCTAGCAAGTCTAGACCAGTGCACCTCTAACTGCGGTTTGTGGGTGGTTATCCTTCTGTAAACTATTACTTTACAACTCTCTATCAATGCAAGTCCAGAAACTGAGAGTAAGCTTTAGAAGCTTTTATAGCAATTTGACATTGCCACTGACATTCAAATGCATGATCAGTGGATTCATCTCACTAAACAGCAACCAGTTGGGTATTGTCAAACTTGCCTGATCAGTCATGTGTGGCCAGAGCTACGTAAAAGTCCTGTGCAGTAAAACTGTGTATTGGGCCATAAGGGACTGGATATTTTTTCTAAATGGTCCTTCACTTCAAATAGTTTGAGAATCCCTAATGTATGTTTTATAGTATCCTTAGTGTTTTTTCTTTAGGCTATTTTTGGTATGCGTATAATGTTTTGTTTATCATTTTAGCCTGAATACTGCTTTCATTTTAATCCGCATATACGTGTGCTCCTATCTGCTACGCCATTCTAAGGAAATTAATTGGTAAGATGTTTAGCTAGAATGAGAGCTCTGGAGACCTTATATTCTGCTGCAGAGCCCACACTTCAAATCAGCCCTAGTACCAGAGGCTAGTGACCCCATTTCCTTCCCCAGCCCACCCTTCTATCTCCACGGTACACGTCCCTGGAGTTTTTGTCACAATTTGAACTGATTGCTCAGCCTTGAAGACCACATCCTCCTCCTGCCCTTCTCCTCCCTTCCCAGAGTCTGAGATGATGTATTTGGTGGTGCTCAAAGTTCACCAACCAGTGGCACTAGCAGCACTGGGGGGTTATTAAAAATGCAGAATCTCAGGCTCCAACCCAGGCTACTGAATTGGAAACTCTGGAAAGGGCCCATGAATCTGTGTTTTAACCAGCCCTCTGGGTGATTCTTAAGACCTGAGTGTCAGGAAGTGCCTGAGAACACTCTTAAGCTCTTACTATAGGAAAAGGTCTGCCACCTAGTGGACAATTGGGGAATGTGCATTTTTCTTCCCTTCCTTGACCGCACCTGATGAGCCACCTGAGTCTCTCGGCTCTTGATTGGGCCTTCCTGTAGGCCTACCTTATGTTAATTACCAACTGGATGTTCTGCTTAATCACTGGGCCTGATAACACAACCCTCTGGGACGCGAGTCCTTCTGAGAGTCCCACACTCTGTTTGGCTGGGGCCCTGATACTTCTCTTAAGTTCTTATGAGGCTTCTCCACTCAGCCTTCTCACGCCCTCCTGAACTTCTCTCTGGGAACCACAGTCCCAACCAGTCCTATAAGGATGGGTACTAGGCAGATGCTTGCACCCCTGTAGCTGAATCTAGCCAGCCCTGTGGAACCCAGACAGTCCCTTCCATACTTTGATGTTTACCCTTGATGTCAATCAACACTGGAACCTGGTGGGAGAAACAAGGCAGGGATGGATCCACCTCCCTGGTTGCATTAGAAAAAGGATAGCAGCAATCTGGTGATCTCACTGAATTTTCTCTGTAGGTCCACTCTATGTTTAATATCAAGAAAACTGAGTCTCAGGGCCGGTCCAGTGGTATAGTGGTTAACCTTGCACATTCCACTTCAGCTGCCCAGGGTTCATGGGTTCAGATCTCAGACGTGGACCTACACACCATTCATCAAGCCATGCTATGGTGGCACCCCACATACAAAAAATAGAGGAAGATTGACACAGACGTTAGCTCAGGGACAATCTTCCTCACCAAAAAAAAACAAAAGAACTCCTGAGTCTCGATACCCAGGAAGGCATGAAAAAAATAGTTAAAATAATTTTACCAACAAGTTATTTTCTTTCATTATAAAAGCCTTCTATGTTCATTGTACAAAAAATGAAAATTTCTCAAAAGTTCAACAAAAATAATTTTAAAAAATCATTTGTAATTCCGTCCTCCAATGATAAGCAGTGTTAAAAATCTTTATTAGATTTTAGTCTTTTTCCTGTGCATATCTATTTTTACAAACCTGGAATCGTGCTAGGCATATCATTTTTAACCAGTTTTTAATGCTTAACAATATATCGTGCACATTTTCCCTTGTCATTAAATATTGTTCTGAATCCTGGCTTTTATTGGCTATAGATTATTCTTTCTTACAGATATACCATAATATATTTAATCACTCCCCAGGATTTAGACAAGTTAAAGTAATTTTTAAAATAATATCTTATGTCAGCAAAGGGACAAGCTATTAACTCATCCTCTTCATAAGGAGAAAAAATGAATCAAATCAATGATCACAATTTTAAATGA